AGTCTTCAAAAAGACATCTTTCTTCTTCAGCACTTGAAAGAGGTCTTTTGCCACAGATTTGCCCAATGCAATATGTTGTCTGATTTCTTGACTGCTGCTTCCATTGGTGTGATTGTGGAACCAAGTAATACGAAACCTATGACAACTTCAATCTTTGCTCCATTTATTGTGATGTTGCTTATTGGTCCAGTTGTGAGGATTTTTGTTTTCATTATGTTGATGTGTAACCCATACTGCACACTGTAGTCTCTAATCTTCATTAGTAAATGCTTCAAGTCATCTTCACTTTCAGCAAGCAAGGTTGTGTCATCTGCATATCACAGGTTGTTCATGAGTCTTCCTCCAATGCTGATGCCACGTTCTTCTTCATATGATCCAGCTTCTCAGATTATTTGCTTAACATACAGATTGAATAAGTATGGTGAAAGGATACAACCCTGACACACTCCCTTCCTGATTTTCAACCATGCAGGATTCCCTTGTTCTATTCAAATGACAGCCCCCTGGTCTAAGCACAGGTTCCTCATGAGCACAATCAAGTGTTTTGGCATTCCCACTCTTCTCGATGTTATCCATAATTTGTTATGATCTACACAGTTGAATGCTTTTGCATAGTCGATAAAATTCAAGTAAACATCAAAAGAAAGTAACGGTAGTGCAAGATTGCCAAGGCAAGTCACTTATCAATCAGAGTTTTTTCCCCTTCTTCCACATCTACCAATCAGCAAACTGAATACGGAAGCCACTGAAGGAGAAGAGGAATGACAAGGAATGACAATTTATAATGATACATAACAAACATTTAATTAGGATGATTTCCTTAGGTGTGTTTTCACTATTTTAACTTTATCAGATGCTTCATATTTTTTTCTTTGCCTTTGATAATAACTTCAGAAGGAAAAAAAAAAAAATTTGTAGTTGTTGCTGTTAGGGTTGTCTTCACTTTTGTTCCTGAATCACTTTAATTGGTAATACTCATATTAGCTATTAAGCAAGTCCCTTAATTCAACTTCAGCAAATTTTTTAAATAAGATTTGTGTGGTATTTAGTTGTTGAATTTCTAAGTTCATTTAATGTTTATCAAAAAGGGCATGAGAGGCTTCCAAAGATATTCACTCTTAGCTAGTTCTGAATATTTGCATTGCAAGATTAATTTTATACCATTTAGAAAATAATATTTTTCTTAGGAAATGGAATTTTTTGGCTATAAATTTTGGTTATTTTAGAAAATTCACTTTTCTCATTTAAGCTGAAGTTGAGCTCATGTCTACATATTAACATGTGTATGTTATACATAGACATAGAAAAAGCTATAGAGATAAATATAGAAATAAATATAAGCATAAACATAGACCCACATAGTCATAGGTACAGATAAACATATACATTATTGTTGTTGTTGTTATGTGCCGTCGAGTCGGACCCGACTCATAGCGACCACTCTGGGTTTCCGAGGCAGTATCACTATGGAAATAGATTGCCCCAACTTCCTCCAGAGAAGTGGCTGGTGGGTTTGAACCGCCAGCTTTCTGGTTAGTAGTCGAGTGCCTTAGGCACTACGCTACCAGAGCTCCCATTAGATATGGAAATACACATACAAATAGACAGGAGCCTGGGTAGGACAAGGGGTTTGAGAGTGGCTGCTAATGAAAAGTTGGTGGTTCAAACCCATCCAGCAACTGTGTGAAAGACAATAACTGATGATCTGCTTTCATAAAGAGTACAGCCAAGAAAATCCTATGCAGCAGTTCTACTCTGAAAAGTATGAGGTCGCCATGAGTCAGGGCCAACTCTATAGCAGCTCAGAACAACAGCATACAGATAGATAAAGGTATAGATACCATGAGTTCTTCTCTGGGTAAGAAACGTTCAGGGTCATTGGGTATAGCTTACTTCTTGCAGACTCCTTATAATGAAAAATATTTGTTGAGGGTCAGGAGCAGAGGAGGATATGGAACATGTGGCTAATTGTCTCTAAGAACAACTTCCTCTTGGCCACGAGACTGGAAGGACTGGATATACTTGGCGATTATTACTGAGCATTTTGATCAAAGATTCTATAAAAGAATCCTGATCAAAAGGGGAGAAATGTAAAACAGAATTTCAAATTTTCATGGACTCCAGATTTTCTGGAGCCTGAAGCTTGGATGAACCTATGAACTACTGCCCTGAGATAATCTTTAACCCTTAAACCAAAAATATCCCTGAAGTCTTCTTAATAGTTTACTTAAGTGGTGAAGAATGTCTGCTTTTGAGCATTGTGCTCTTTCAAGAACTATCTATGGGATCAAAGGGCCAATAGAAACTTGAAAAATTGTATAAAAACTTTAGGGGACAATGAGCTTATGTTAATGGCAGAGAAACAACTCAGAAAAGGAGGGTGAGAATGGTTGCACAACCCAAAGACAGTAGTCAGTGTCATTGAATTGCACATGTAGAAACTGCTGAACTGAGGTATGTTTTTGATGTATATACAGTTAACGAAAAATAATCAATAAAAGAAAAAAATTTTAAAAACCAAAACTAAAAGTAATAAATTGATAAAAATCAAAGTGGAAAAAAAAATCTGTAATAGATTTTAATCCAAACACAATACTAAGACAAGTTCTTAATCAAAACATAACTAAGATTTATTTCTTCCACAGCATATAAGTCAAGATAAGAAAAACTGCAGGGTGAGGTGATCCATGTCAAAGACACAGAGAAGTCAAGGAAACAAGGCAGGAAAAGAGCTTATTTCTATAATTATAGGAAAGTCTCTTGGTCTTTTTAAATGTGCTGTACGAGACAGGTGTGTGGAAGGAAATGAAATTTCAGGGGAAGATTAGGTGGTGAGAAAAATAAGGCTCAAAAAATGAAGAATGGGAAAGAGAGTGAAGGTTTCAATATTAAAGGAAAATTCTTTGAGAAAAGATGGGAGGGGGCAGCAAAGGGTGAGGGAGACCAGTGTATAAAAAAGGGTGAAGGGAAATAAGCTTTAGCATTGAGGTATAAGCTGGTGTTAAAAATCATAGTCCTCCATTTCTATCTGTTTTTGACCTATTTTCATCTTTGGGCTTTTCTGAGAACAAAGATCTCTTTTGAAAGCTGCTACACCCTTTCATCATTTAATAATTGCTTCTACTTTTCAGAATTTACTCAAAAGGCTATTTATCAGCCCTGGAAATGCACTGGCATTAAAGGTGAGAAACAGAAGCTATGCTTTGAGCTCTTCCAAAGAAAAGCACTTTAGAAATCAAAGGCATTGCTATATTGTTATTATTCTCTTCTTCCCTGAATGCCTGGCATGACATTTTCTCTGATCCGCAAAGACGTCTTTCATTTTAGCCATTATTTAAAATAATCTCTGTCTCCAAAAAAGAATGGATATCTACATTTATCATTCTAGTCCAATAATCTTCTTTTTCCTTAGTTCTTGTGCTATGGATTTGAGCCAAGAGTCAGAAATAGGAGCACTGTAACTTGTTTCATCTTCCATGTAAATTGCATCCAGTAATGCGTGAATTATCAGGGCATACGGCCAAACTCTGTAAATTCTATGCAAGCAGCAATCCATGAGCTTAGCTGGCACTGAAAGCATGAGATACTAATTTATGAATAAACCTTTCATATTTTTATACATTTGTATATCCAGGCATTTATTATAATGATAATTTGCATTAATAATGGAATAATGAATGAAGGACAAAAATAAGAAGCTATTTTGGCATAAATTATCAGTTTTTCTATGAAAAGTACCAGTTATTGCCTCTCAAGACAAAATTGAAGAGATCTTGTAACACTCGGGAAACAAAAGCAAATACCAGATCCATTTAATATTTTCCCTACTTCGGTAGCTCCATGAAAGTTACCACCCATAGGGTAATATCTAATAAAAAGTCTGAGAAGAAAGAAAATTTTAAACTAGAACTATAATCTGTATTTGGCACCTCAAACAATTAAAATTCACATGTAGATGATCAGATCTAAAAAGAAAAAAACATTTTCACAGAAGGTAGATATAATTCCAAGTTGTGATTGTTCATTAGTTTCAATCATTTGATTGACTCCTTCAAAAAAATATAAAAAGACAAATGCAATGACAGGTGTATAAAAAGCAACTTGAGATTTTTTGTCTACTGACCAGCTAAAGTGTATTCATATTCTTATAAAGCCAACCTACATTATAATAAAAGACAAGAACTTATTTCAAAATAAAAGAAACAGTAAAAGGCTGCACAGAGATCAATGCTTTAGGAAACAAACCAATTAAATCTTAAACAAGCACACATTGATAATACTCTTTTTCAATTTTTGAAATTGAGAAAATAGATCTCACTGAAACATGGACATATCTGGTGAAGATAGTCTAAAGGTTGATGACATGAGAGCAGTTTTGGTTAACTAAACCAAATCTGAGTCCTAGTTTTCTTTCTGTGCTAGTGATGACAGAAAACAGGCTTTCATGTGTGTCTCCTTCTTTGTATATTAGAATGTAAACTCCATGTTCGGTTCACTGCTGTACCTCAAGAATCTAGCACAGGGTCTGATATATAGTAGCCATTTAATAAATATTTATTAAATTGAATTGCTGTTGACATTCCTAGCATAGAAATTCAGAACAAGATGCCCACCACATGATCCATGATTTTAGTTATAACTATTGCTCGCAACAAAAATAAAGCTAAGAAATACTTATCGATCACTTAAATTTACAAGAAACGTTGCAACCCAGCATTCTGTGTTCATCAAGCATGGAACCAGCTGTGCACCAGAGCTCCCACTGGTGCTCCCGCTGGTGCTTGACTCTCCTCTCAACCTCTGCCATCTCCTTACTTTTCATGTTTTGTTGGGTTTCTTGCACCCCATACCTCATTCCTACTGGGCAATATCTAGTCAGAGTTCCAGATTCACAAAATTGCCTCCTATTTATTCCAAAGCATCCAAAATTATATACTGTCAATATCTGACACTTTCCTCACCAAATTACACAGCAATTACATCTGACAACTTTCCCTTACCTTCTGCTTGCTCCTGGGTTTGCGGTGGCCTTATAACCTGGAGGGGGTGGCGGAAACCAGGATTGTCTGTTAAAAAATGACATCAATTACAAACATGGTGCTTAAAAAGTCTGATCCCACACACATGTCTGTGAAGAAAAGCTGAAAATAATTTGGTAGTTAAAAAGGCAATAAGATTACTTTATACAAGGCTTTGGAAATAGAATGAAAACTATGCTACAAATGAAATAGAAAATAACCTATACTCCAGGCTATCTATAGCTCCCCCCAAAGTAAGTTCCTTGTCTCACTTCTTTTCACACTACACAATGTAGACATTTCCTTAAAGGAAATCTGAAACACATATGGAAAACAATAGCATTTATGGAATCTAAATAATAGGTACATGGATGTTTACCATGTTATTCTATTTTTCTCTATATCTGAAATATTTCATAATAGAAACAATAAAAATTTGTTGTTCTATTCAAAATATAGTTTTAAAAAAACTGATAGAAAATCTTGACAAATAAGAATATTGAAAACATAAATGAACCCAAAAAGGTTAACAAAGGCATCAATTGGCAAAGGATTAGCAATAGGCAATCAGAAATATCTCCAACCAGAGAGATGTCTTCACCTTAGTGAGGGATATAATTTTAATCGGCAGAGAGTGAAAGCCTGGGATAAGGGAAGTCAGGAGAGGGAAATATAGATTCTTGAAGCAGGTGTATTCTCTGAGGCACCACAGGACAGAAGTAGACCAGGTGGGAGTTAAATAGAGGCAAACTTCAGCTCAAGGAAAGGAGGAGCTAGTTGTCCATTAAAGGTGCATCTCAAAATAGTCTTGGTCTTATTACTGGCTTCAAGGTCGTGAATTAAATTTAATCTGTTACAGGAAAGATACTGGCACCAGGTAAGAGATTGGACTGTTGCTATGTGCTGTCAAGTCAACTCTAACTCATAGCAACCCTATACGACAGAGTAGAACTGCCCCTTGGTGTTTTATAGGCTGTAGTCTTTATAGGAGCATGGGGCTCCTGGCTAGGTTTGAACTACTAATTTTTCAGTGAGCTGCCAAGAGCTTAACTGTTGTGCCATCTGACCTTAAATTTCTCTTCCAACCTTGAAAATCTGCTTTTCATTGGCAAAAGATCAGAAAGATGTAGCATTTGGGTCCAAGAGAAGGATAAATCACATTTTGTGAGACTTTGCAAATGCCACCAGAACCCTTATTGCAGGAAAAATAGAATAAAAAATAACCTCTCAGATAACTACAGCTGCACTAGTGCCAAGTCAGTCAGTCCACCATCAAAAATTTATTGGGCACCTACTCCGGGCCAGGCGTGGTTCTAGGTGCAGGCAGAGACAATAAGAAAAAACAAAACCAATAAAACACCAATGTTCACAAGGGCTTGTTTTCTATTTGTGTCATTATGCACTAGTGCTGTGTTTCCGTCAAAATTCTTTTCCACCATCACTGCTGTCTCATGAAGAATATTTCTGCTATCACAGGTTTTGCTATTCCACTACACCTACTAAGTAAACAAATTCTTAGCAGAAGCAGAATATAGGCAGCCATGCAGGGGAAGTCAAAGGAGGCAATGATCACACAAACATAGATGCCTCCATCCAGAGTCTTTGACTCTGCTTCGAAGTAGGTCAGTCCATCTACATCGTAGGGGAGGCAGTCACTGAAGCAGGCTGGATTCAGGAGCATGGAAATATATGACCACATATCAGTCATTGTTTAAGTTTATGACATTCCTATAGTAAAACTCTGTTAAAATCCATTACCTGAAGTAGTCCACCCTTTAATACCTGTGGTGGTTATGTTTGTGTGTCACCTTGGCTGGCCTGGTTGAGTGGCTGGGCAACTGGTGGTAGTTATTCCCCGTGATGAGACTGGCAATCAACTCCATGGTGGGATCTATCACAAGCAGCTGAGTAGCTGCCTTTGGGACATGGTCTGCTCCCTGTATATAAGGAGAAGCCTTGGGAATGGTCTCTAGCTTATGGCACCTTGAACCCTGCATGTAGCTGTGTCTTGCTCAGCAGCCTGCCATGTTCTGCTGACCTTGGGACTTATAATGGACTTAAGTTAATGGCCTGCCATGTAATTTGGTAATAGTGGGACTGTGCCAGCAGCTGAGTGAAGAAACGCCTCTAGCTTCAGTGGGCCGGGAGCTGGAGGCAGAGCTGAAGCCCAAGGCTGAGGGGCTTTCCCCAAGCCCTTAGAGCCTGGCACTTTGAACTTGGACTTAAAGCCTCCAAACTGTAAGAGAATAAACTCCTGTTTGTTAAGGCTGTCCCATCTGTAGTATATATGTGTCAGAGTGGCACTAGCTATCCAGAACAATACCCGAGCTCTATCATCAAAGATAGGAATCCTCGGATGATGAAGTCTTGTTGGTTACACAGAAGTGCCTTAAAAGAAAGCCCTGGTGATCTACTTGCATAACATTATAGCCACTGTAAACTCTGACACACATGGGGTTACCATGGGTTGGAATTGACTTGACAATTTTGGTGGCAATAATCAAAAACAAAGCTTCAAAATTAAAGGTCCTAGGGGAACTGAGGAGTTCCTGGGTGGTGCAAACAATTAACACTCTTGGTTGATAATCGAAAGGTTAGTGGTTTGAATCCACCCAGAAGGGCCTTGGAAGAAAGACCTGTTGATCTACCTCCAAAGAATTATTATTGAATATCTTATGGAGCACAGTTGTAGTCTGACATACATGGGATTACCATGAATTGGAATTAACTCCACTGGTTATTTTTTTAAAAGAACTGGAGAGAAGACTGTACCTTTTAATAAGAGATTTGTTGCTGTTAGTTGCTATAGAGTCGATTGCAACTCACGGCAACCCCACCAGGGGTCTCAATGGCTATGACCTTTGGGAAGCAGATCATAAAGACTGTCTTCCAAGGTGTCTGTGGGTAGGTTTGAATTGCTAACTATTTAGCTAGTTATCAAATGCTTAACCATTTATGTCACCTACTGTTGCCAAAGTGCAGAGTAGGGATAAAAAGACTGAAGTTTGAGGGCAGAAGAATGCAGGCAATGGATGCTTGTGAAGAAGTGAGAACAAAGAAGAAACAACTTTCAAAGCTGTCTGGAGCCTTGATGGATGATTTGGTTCAGAAACATGATAAAGAATGATCATTCTTTGGAATATTGACTACAGGCAAACACGTACCTCTTTTTCTTTACAGGAGTAGTAACAGATGTGGAAGCCATGGTGTTAGTGGTGTTTGTGCTGAACAAATTGCCAGGTTGTCTGTTTAATCACAAGAAAATAAATAATCACAGTCCTGAAACTTTTTCATTTTACCCCAATTGAAAGGCCTAGTAGTTGACTCATATTCCTTACCTGCTCTCCATCTACCACAAAATATTTCACTTAAATATTAAAGAACAACAAAAGATTTCCTTCCTTAATTTGACCTATTTAATAAATTACCAGTCTTTCATATAACTAACAAAAATAGGAGATGAATGAATAAGTCAGTCATCATATGACATTATCAGTCTTAAATCTAGACAAATCAACAGTGACATCTATGGATTCATTTTTTATTTGTAATTCCATATATTGTTTGTAACATAATTTTTAATTATATTGTGATCGATACAATTTTTTTTTGTATTAAAAGCATTAGTTTGTTAAGGAAAACAATTTAAACTCTATTTAGCATTTATACATATATTTAGACCCTCAAAAAAATGGAAGTGACACAGCCTGTTTCAACCACTGAGAGGTGTGGTACAGTGTGAAAAAATTAATATGTACATACAAAGGAAGAAACTAAGAACATTTAAAATTTGTGAAGTGGGGCTACATGTAACTTCCAGAGTATAGTCTAGGTTTCAAAAATGTATTTCTTTATGTAGATTGTTAGCAAACCCATGATTTCAGAACTCTCTGAAGCAGGACTGTGGGTGGGGAGTAAATTTAGGAAAGAAACAGTTGATTTTCACGGGGTGGGTGGGAGTCTGTAGGAAAAAATAAAGCATCTAGATTAAAAGGAAAATAACTATCTAAGTTTTGATTAGAACAAGTGGTCTGCAAACTTATTCTGTAAAAGTCCAGACAGTAAATATTTTATGCTTTGCAGACGATTTCAGTGTCTGTCCTCAACTAATCAACTTTGCTCCACATATCCAAAAAACCTCTTGCCATGGAGAATCCAACTCACAATGACCCTATAGGACAGAGGAGAACTGTCCCATAGGCTTTCCAAGGCTTTTATAGAAGCTGAATGCCACATCTTTCTCACATGGAGTGGCTGGTGGATTCAAACCACCAACTTTTCAAGGGTTTAACCGCTGGGCCACCACACCTTCTGTGCCACAGGGATAGATAATACCTAAGTGGGTGTGGCTGTGTTCCAATGAAACTTTAGCCTGAGAGCCAAAGACCTAGGTCTGGAGCATTGAATTAGAACACTAAAATAAAATAAAATAAAATAATTCTTAAAATGTAATTTCACTTAGAAAAGTACATACTTTGTTGCTTCTGGTGATCTAAACGTGGACAGGCTTCTGGTTAGGAACAAAAAAAGTTTGAAGAGTGATGAAGAATTAATATTTGCAATTGTCTATGAATTTAAAGTTACTATTATTAAAAATAAGAAATTATTCGAGAGAGGGAGAAAGAAATATATTAGATAAATTGATTATATAATCCTTTATCTCTTATACTAGATTCCTAAAGCATAGCTTTTCTTCAGAAGATTTGGCATTTTTTAAGCCCAGTGTTTTTATTTGTTGAGTATAGTGATTTTCTTTAGCAATAAGAATATAAAATTTGCATTTATGTGTATTTCATCATCTTGTCACCAGGGTAATTTTAACAGAAACATAAATGTGGTAAGAATGATGACATGAAGCTAAGAGTTCCTTTGATTATTTTAAGTCAGATAACAAGATTTTTTTTCCAGCCATGTAGCGAGGACTAAAGTCTGTTACTCCAGAACTTTAGTATCAGAAACATAGAGAGCAAGAAGTTACAGAAAGATATTAAGTAGGAATGGAGAGTAAATAAACAACTAATGGTTAGAAAAATATTGTACTTGAGCCTTTCCCAAGTTAGTAGATACTGGTACCTATTGGTTAGTCGGTTATCCAACCTATTGGCCTTATGTGTTTCAGCAGCATCTTTTCTGTCTGAGATCCTTTATAAAGAAACAAGACAAAAGTCTGGATAAGTATGTAGATTATTAAACCCTCTTCAGAACTCATTCATGCTAGAATAACTTCATAACATTGCCTTTCTCTAGTAACAAGCACTGTTTTCAGGTGCTTGATTTTTTAAAATTTTACAGTGGAAAAAAAAAAGCTACTTATAACACAAAGGACAAAATTTTTATGCCATTTAGATTTATAAAAGTGTTCTTTTATTTTGCCTTTCTGAACACTGAAATAATTAACTATTTTTGTAATCCTTATTACTTATCAGTGACAATATTTGTCAGTAAAAGATATAGTGGAATACTTAAACTAAGTTTTTATGTTTTGTGATAGAAAAAATGTTATGTGTCTGCCAAACCTATTTTATTTGCTTCCTGAGACACAAGAAGATTATATTTTTCAATTTCCTTTGCAATTAGGTTGGGGTCATGAAATTGAATTCTAAAGTTTGTGGACAGAAATGTGGTGTGCCACTTCCAGACCCTTCATAAAAATATCTAGCAACCTCTTCTGTGCTTCTTTTTCCCCTCTCCATGATGGCTTTGGCCCCATGGGATAAAGAGAGTAGCATTAAGACACAGAAGGAACTTAGGTCCTTGAGTGACTACATGGAGCAAATGCCCCTCCTCAACTCCTCCAGCCAATCAGCCAATTATACTCCAATGAAAGGAAGCAGTAAGCCTCTATTGTATTAAACCACTGAGACTGGGATAAGGAGCTTGTTAAAATAGTTATTGTACCCTGACAAATTAACTTACTCTAATTAATACTTCTAGTTAATACTTCCAACTTGAACACACCAGCAATCATGAGGATAGTGCAAGATCTGGCAACATTTCCTTCTTTGTACATGAGGTTGCCATGAGTCAGAGCTGACTCTATGACAGCTACCTAACTAATGGCCATCAGAGGTTTTAATTTCTCCATCTCAGATCTCATCAAGGAAGATAGATTTAGAATAGTTTTGTTTGTCTGTTCTGAGAGTGAGGAAACACAAACTAGGAATCTGTTACACACATGATCACCATAGATCAGTGTTGGCTCTACAACCATTAACAACAATAGTCGCCATGAAATTGTGGGATCTTATTATGGCTGTTCTTCTCCTTCCTTCCCTCACACCAGACTGAAAGATTCTTCCTAAGATCTAGTGCTATCTTCTGCAGCATTCTGCAGGCTTGCATGAAACTATAATGTAGCAAAGTTTTCCTCAGGAAACAAAAGGTCTAACAAGACCCTTCTGTTGATTCCATACTACAGGTCTACCATAACTGTCCCTAAACTTTCACTTTACCATCTGCTTTCATACAGGGCTTTATATAGAGCTTTCTTGCTAAGATGGACACTGATTTTGACTCTCTCTTTAAAAGGAAATCATGTGGAAAAAATATGACTTAGTTATATTTGTAGAAATAATTTCAATTTGTAAATGTCATTTTCCACTTGTAACTAAAATATTATATACATAACTCTAACAATTTATGTTTCTATGAGTCAACTCTAAGACACAGCCTCTGTTGATAGTGCATAATGCCAGAGAACATTAACTCTTAAGTGTAAAAATGGAGGACAAATAACTCGTTATGACACTCCAGACCTCCATGTGCTCAGCACACTGTTCCCAATACAGGTGGTAAACTTGTACAGAATCCTGGACTCCATGTATAAAAATCTTCATGTCTAAGGTGATCACCAGGCCAAAGAATATGATCATATCACCTGCACCAAGTGCCACAGAGCCTTCTGGGATGTTTATGTTCAAAGTGTAGTAAATCATAGGTAGGGTGCCAGGTAAACATAGGCTTAAATTTTCCTGAAAAACTCTATTTAGACTTTATAACTGTCTATGAGACCCTCATATAAAATAATAATCTTGGGAAATTGCTACTCTGATACACTGAAAACAACAATTTGTTTAAACCAAACAGAATATCAAATATTCTCAAAGTTTAAATAAAGGTGAGTTTTCTTGTCAAAATTAAATGAAGCTAATAAAATTCTGTGGTGTAAATCTATGTGAATAATGCTACAATTAATAATAAAAAATAGCTACCTACTACACACTAATAATTAAAAAATAGCTACCTACTACACACTAATAATTAAAAAATAGCTACCTACTACACACTAATAATTAAAAAATAGCTACCTACTACTCTTTGCCAGTCATTTTATATATTTTTCTCTACTCTTCAGAACAATTATAATTATAATCATTTTACAGATGAAGAAGTGAAATCTCAGAGAAGTTGGTTATTTTCTCTTGCCTGTACTACTAAAAAGTGGCAAAGAAAGAATTTACAGGTCTATCTCCAAAGCCTTCCCATTAGGGCTCAATGTCATACCTCAGATCTTGTATCATTATTGTCCCCAACAATCATATATTAGGTCAACATGTCTTCCTCTAGTTATTATTGTTCATGACCCACAATCTCTTTTATGACAGTAGGGGTGGGGAGGAGTCTATCAACGGTAACAGAACTCTAAACCACTATTCCAATACATATGTCAATTTCTGATTGTTTAGGAAGATGAAATTTGTATTTATCCTGGAAATTAACTTTCTGTCAACTTGTAATATGAAATAAGTTGTTTTAATAGGAGTCAGTCTTGGAGGCAGGAAATACCCAAACAATATAATCAAAAGAACAAAAGGAAAAGTTATACTTCCACTACACAACACCAGGGGTCGCCCTAAGCTAGATTTTTCTAAATACACTCATTTAACCTTTAGGATTTGAGCTTTCTACATATATTGCATATGCTGTGAAGTCTATTCTGACTCTGAGTCCCTATAGGACACAGTAGAACCTTCCCAGTGAGTTTGCAATGCTGTAATCTTCATGGAAGCAGACTGCCACATCTTTCTCCTGCAAAGCAGCTGACAGATTCGAACCACTGACCTTTTGGTTAGCAGCCAAGTGCTTTAATCACTGTACCATGAGGCTATGAGGCAGTTCTACTCTGTCCTATAGGGTTGCTATGAGTCAGAATCCACTCGATGGCACACAACAACAACAACAACCTTTACATTGCATTTACTTGCATGCTACATATACTATTATTTATTTATGCTTCTTTAGCACACCTCATATTTTACCTACATAAATATATATGTATATAAAGGACTCTCTTCAAATATAAACTCAATACTTTTCTCACACTCATTAAAGTAAGTACATTATTACTCACACACACTGAAGATATTTGACCATCTTCCTCCTAAAATTATATCATACCTCAAATTTTGGGGTGGCCTGCCTTTGGAATTTCAACTCCTGCTAACAGGGCTTGTCTTTCTTTACTGATCCCTGTGGCTTCTCTTCCTCGCTTCTACTTCCACATGTACAGAGATGTAGTTTACTATGGAAGAAAGGACTTCTTTGGAAATAAGCTGACCAGTTGACTTCTTCCAAACATGCTACTAAAGATCTGCATAACTGATTCATTTAATCTTCTGATCCTGTTTTCTCATGTATAAGAAGAGTTGGGTTGAATTGATGATTTGCAATCTTGACTACACATTTGAATCACTTCATTAACTTAAAAAATTGCCTGAGTCCCATCTCAGAATAATTAACTCAGAGGACTGGGGTTGTGGGGTAGTGGATCCAAGCCATCAGCAAAGGTTAAAAGCTCCTTCAGTGGTTCCAATGCACAGCCAGGGCTGAGAATCACTCTACTTGGTTGCCTGTGAGGTCTAGTCCTCCTTAAACATTCCAATGCTCTGTCTTGAGTGGCCTGAGATAAACTTTCAGACACACAACCTGCAAAAGCCTAGGTCTTCAACAAGTCCACCTTTCCTGAGGCCTAATTAACACACTGTTAAAAGCATTCCTGAAAATAAGATTTTCTCCTCCAATCCAGGGCTCAATGGAACAGCCCTCAAGGCTAGGGGTAACTGGACAGTGGTGTTTTGACTTCTTTACTCCATGCACTGCTGTGGAGATGGAGATCTTTTACATACACTTCTACAGAGTTTGTAGAACTTTGTGTTTGTCAAAATGATAATTAAAAGGAGAGACTGATTCTTAAGGGATGTCAATGCTGATTGCCCTCTGCTGGAGTGAATGACTTGAAAACCTAAGGATCATGGAGATGTACATACATTTTGCTATGTAACGAACACTGATGTAGTATGAATACAGAATGTAATAAATAGTTTAAGTTCCAGCATTGTTGTTGTTGTTGTTGTTATGTGCCATCGGGTCAAACCTGACTCATAGGGACCCCTCTTTGGGTTTCTGAAGCAGTATCACTACGGAAGTAGGATTGCCCAACCTTCCTTCCGAGGAGTGGCTGGTGGGTTTGAACCACCAGCCGTCTGTTAACAGGCAAGTGTCTTAGCCACTATGCTACCAGAGCTCAAAATCCAGATGGTGCCGTTTTTATCTACAACAGCAGCACATCTTTAACTATAGAGAGTGAATTTAACCATTGCTGGCCTCAGGTGTCCATTGTGCCTTTTTATTCAGTTTTAAAATTCTTACTGTAACTTGGGTGAAAATTTACAGAGCAAATTGGTTTTCCATTCAACAATCCGTACACATTTTATTGCATGACATTAATTGCAGTCCCCACAATTTAACAGCTCTCCTCTCACTTCCTCCCGTTTCCATTCATCCTTCTTTCCTATCCATTCCTGCCTTCTGAGTTTTATTCCTGGGCAAAAGCTACCCTTTTGATCTCATATGATAGATTGTTCTAAGGAGTTTGTACCTCCCTGGTGTTACTGTTCACCCCATAAGCCTGTCTGTTATTTGGGTGAAAGTTGAGCCAGGGGTTGTCTGTTGTGTCTTGACTCCAATTAAAAATGTTAACTTTGCTCTTTACTTATACTTATAAATCATCTCCAAAATAATAATAATAAAAACAATAATCTAAAATAAAAATGTGATTTGTGGTATGTACACTTTAGCCTGCATGAGTTTTCTCAGTTTTCTCTGTAGAGATGAGCCCTGATCCTCTAAGCAAGAACTAACAACAAGCACAACATAAAGGGCTTGTTCTACAAGCCAAATCGTTACTCCAGTGCCGAAAGAGTAGTTTCACTTTCTAAAGCTAATGCCTTTATCCTAGGGTGGATCAAAGCTGTTGCATTATTAAAATTTACAATGTCTCCATAAAGTAGTTGGACAGAAACTGCTATTCCTCCACCATCAGGATGGAAGGATCAAAAACCAGAAACATGGCTCCTCCCACTCACAAATAGAATTATACTCTCAATGTTAAATTGGTCAGATCCCACATGGTGTCCATGTTAGCTAGACTGTCACCAGTTTCTCTCAAATTATGCCAATCCACTATTATCAAGATATTAGTGGAAAATTGTATCTAGTCAAGATTTTCTGAGTTTTGAAGAAGGAAATAATTGACTCCTTATATCACTTCTATCTCTGAGGATAAAATATCAATACTTCAAAGTTTGCTTTGGAAAACATTAGAATATCTCATAGCTATATAAGAAATAAAATTCAAAGTATGTATGGATTTAGCTTAGATGGTTCAAAACACCTTACCTGTCTAAAGTGTCATCAGATCTGTACCGACTAATAGTGGCCTTTGGCTCATCGCTCTCATTTGTTTTCCTATAGCCAAAAATAAATAAATAAGCAAAAGGCAAACAAAGGACCAGATAAATAGTTTATAAGTTTATATCATGCCATTTGCAACATCATTACCAATTAAGGCAGAAAATGTACATAATACCAAGAAAAGAAAGATTTTGAACAAATAAATTCTCCAAAATTTTGACTTGGGTAGAATAAATTATGGCATGCCTAATTCCTTGTGCTATGAAGATTCTTCTCTGGTTCCAATCACTGATAACTACAATATGATACATTCCAACTGGGGATACCAAAAAACAAACAAACAAATAAACAAACTCACTGCCTTAGAGTCAGATCCGACTCATAGCGACCCCTTCTTGGCTTTCTGAGACAATATCACTACAGAAGTAGATTGCCCAGTCTTCCTTCTGTGGAGTGGCTGGTGGGTTTGAACCTCCAGCCTTCTGGTTAGCAGTCAAATGCCTTAGGTACTATGCCACCAGAGCTCTCTCTAACTAGGACTAAGGATGTATAAAACAACACAACATGCAAAGTGGTTAATAACTAATACAGACTTTTGTCAATGCTGTGGATTTCTACATAAGAGAAACCCTCAATTCTTTGTAAACAGCTTTATTTTGTCTGTGGAGTCTAGCAGTGCGATAATCCCACACAATGGGCTAAGTACTAAACTGCTTTATTGAAAATTCAGCACTGTAGACGAGGTTGAAAAAGAAAACTGCTGGCAAAAGGGAGAAAGAGGAAAGAAAAGAAAAGAAACAGAAAATGCTGGAAAAAATTAAAAGAAGAAAATGGGGAAATAAGAAAAGGATGGAGATAGTAAGGAAAAGAGAAAGGAGTTAGGGAGAAAAAACGAACAGAAGGGAGGCAAGGAAGGAGAGGCCAAAGTGGAGGGGAAGGCAAATGAGCAGAAAGAGAGATAACAGGGAGGAAGAAAAAGACAGAAAAGAGGATCAGAAAATTAGGTGAAGGAGAATAGGAGACTCCAGACTAAAATTTATAGTAAAGCAATGGAAATAGCTTGATGAGACTCTTCACACAGAAGGGGGAAGAAAAAAAAAGCCTGTTCAGTGCCTATTTAATGCCTAATGTGAAGGGAGCTCTGGTGACATATGTCTGAGTCATTTGACTGTTAACCAGAAGGATGGCAGTTCAAGTCCACCAGCCACTCTGGGGAAGGAAGACTAGGCAATCTACTTCCATGAAGATTTACCGCCTTGGAAACCCAAAGGGGGTCTCTGTGAGTCGGTATCAACTCAATGGCAGTGAGTTTGGTTTGTTTTAAGGCAGAAAATGTATGTATTACCAAGAAAAGAAAGATTTTAAACAGATAAATTCTGTGATGCAGGGAAAGCAAGCTATTTGGAGAATTACATTATGATTTACTGTGCTTGCCTTTGAAAGCCTTATTTGAAGCAGTCAGATCAAACATACTGAATCAGAATAAGTACTGAAACAGGATGCTCAGTATTTAATTTCAAACTGCTTGTAGTATATTTTCATTGAGCAAATACTTAAACCAAAAAACCAAACTCATTGCCATCTATTTGAGTCTGACTCATAATGACCCGTACTGGGTTTCCATTCTGGAAGTAGATTGTTTGAACTGCCAATCTTCTGGGTAGCTATCAAGTGCCTTAGACACTGTACCACCAGAGATTGGAGGTAAACAATATACAAAATATTGTGTGACCATGGGGAAGAATAAAATAACTATAGACTTTGTATTCACAGAGCTTGCCTTTTTGAGAGACAAATATACTATGTACATTCAAAGGTAGAAAGTGTTCAGAGAGAGCACAGGAAGCTGTGAGTTGAGAAAGCTTATTTCCAGGTGGCGGAATCAGAAAAGTCTTTATGGATGAGGTGCAGTTTGGATTGCACCTTGGAAGATAAATAGCTAGGAGTATTTTCATACAGAAAGAATAGTGACAGTAAAGTAAGAAAATTATAATGAAAAATACCATATGCAACTCCCCAAGTTTTCAAGCAAACCCCAGAGTGAAATAATGGTATATTTCACCATCATGGAGTCCCTGGGTTGTGCAAATGGTTAGTGTGCTCAGGTGCTAACCAAAAGGTTGGAGGTATGAGTCCACCCAATGGTGCTTCAGAAGAAAGGCCTGGCAATCTACCTCCAAAAAGTCAACAATTAAAAACCCTATGGAACATTCTACTCTGACATTCATGGGGCTGTCATGAGTTGGAATCCACTCTATAGCAACTGGTTGTTCTTTTTGCTGCCATCATATGTAATGTGTGAATGTCACTAAGTGCTGCAGGACCTACTGACACCCTTCCACAAAGCAACCCTCCACCAACACCATCACTTTATATGTGTCTGTGGCTGGCTTTCTTCTTCTTGGCACTATCCCAACACGACGCATTATATTGTGTTCCTTTATTTTCTATCACTTCTCTCCCCTACCCTCAACTAGGATGAAAATTCTATGAAAGTAGGGACTCTGTTTTGTTCTCAGTCCTTAGAATGGTATCAGGCAAAAGTAGGCTCCAGATAAAAGCTTGTGGGGTGAATAAACGTGCAAGATAATTGAGCACAGAGTAAGGCTGGGCCCCATTAGGAAAAAGATAGCATGGTTAGTATAAGAATGAAATAAGCAGTGAATGATGCAATCTTTGAGCATGTGGACAAGAGTAAAATAGCAAACACAGTGTATATAAACTTTATATAGACTTTGATTAAATGTAATGTATTAAGTCACTACAGATTGGAATGTAACCTTTTACCCTGCATAGAAAAGTCAGCACATCTCTGGGTATTAAAGCAGTAACATGGCTTTCTTCAGGCACTGTTTGTGCTATCAGCCTTATTTAACACGTTCAAATGATCTCGTAAAGGGAGTAAAATTCCCTGCATTGTGGATAACATGAAACTGTTATCTAAGATGATATCTATCTATCTATCTATGTAAAATACGTAATACATATTTTCCTTCCCTTTTCCTTCTTTTCCTTGTTGTGTTGCTTTTCGATGCTATTGAGTCGGCTCTGACGCATACTCATAGTGATCCTATGTACAACAAAATCAAACCCTACCCAGTCCTCCACTATCCACATAATCTTTCCTATGCTTGAGCCCATTGTTGCAGCTGCTGTGTCAATCCATCTCATTAAGGGTCCGACTCCTTTTCACTGACACATAATGAGGATGAATTATTAAATTATTTATCACCTTCCTCTCTGATATCTGAATTATTTTTACAATCCCAAACCTGATTATATTCCTTCTTTGCTTAAAAATCTTTGATGGCTGTTGATGGTACTAGAAAAACATTCCAGTTCCTCACCCTGCCAAATATGCCCTTCTTGATCTACTCCCATCCTGCTTACCTAGTATATTTCCTGCTCCAGTCTCTCTAAACTGTCATTGTAGCTTCATCAAGTTACTGTCAGTCCCTCATCATGTTCTTTGCACATATAGCACCTCTGTGGGAATTGCTTCCTTCCCTGTCCCATCCCCATTGACTAACTCTGATGGTTAATTTTATGTTAACTTGGCTAGGCTGTGTTCCCAGTGGTTTGGTCGAACACTAGACTAGTTGTGATGTGATGTGATATAATCACCTCCCATAATGTAATGTAGTAGAATTTATAATCACCTTCCACAATATAATCCAATATAATATAATCAATCATTCAGTTGAAAAGAGAATTTCCTTAGGATGTGTTCTGTCTCCAGACTACAAATAGATATTTTGGCAGAATATTCTTTCTTTACTCTGCATTTTTCCTGTCACCTGACTTATAGATTTTGGGTTGCAAGCCTACAGAATTCTCAAGCCTTCTGCCTGACCTATGAATTTTGGATTCACCAGGCCCTCACAATCTTGTGAGCCAATTCCTTGAAGTGAATCTCTCTCTCTCTGTTTCTGTTCTCTCTCTATGTATGCATTACACATGAATAAATATTTATAAATCAATCATTATCTGTATCTGTCTATCACTGTATTACTGATTCTGTTTCTCTAGAGAACTCTGACTTTGCTTATTTGGGAAACTTCTTCCTTATCCTTCAAGCAGCAGCACCAACATGAATGACCACTTCCTTGGTGAAGCCTTCTCTGAATTATACAATCATAGCTCACCTCTCCCTCCTCTATTTTCACAGCACACTTACATACCTTCACAGCAGCACTTTCACAGTAAATTTGAGTATTTAAATTCATGGAACTTTTTTTCCACTGTTGTAAGAGGACTTTAAGTCAAAGGCTGTGTCCTATGCATCTTTATATCCCCAACACCTGGTAGGAGGCCAACATACTGTAGGTACTCCAGAGTGGCTATTGAATGAATGCCAATGTAAATACAGCCTTTGTGAAAGGACAGAAAAGTGGGCATCCTCTCTAGCAATAGCAAAGAGAAATATAGCATACACTACTCCCACCAGTCACTGGGCAACCTACTTCTGTAGAGATACCGCTTCAGAAACCCAAGGAGGGGTTGCTATGAGTCAAATTGACTTGACAGCAGTGAGTTTCTTTTCTTTTTTTTTTTTTTTTTCTAATACTCTTCTAGGACGTTTTATTCTGAGAGACTAGTTATATAGATCAAGGGAAAATGTTCAGGGCTAACTGTTTTTGTTTGTTTCTTTGTTTTTCTGCTTGATTTACTGAAGATTAAAAGCTTAATGTGGTATTTTAGAAAGAATGTTGGCCACTAAGAGGGAAAGTTGAGGAAATGAATATAATTTAAAATATATAATAATCATGAAAATCGCTAGGCTCCTGCTATACAGAAACAAAAGGAGCCCTGCTGGCACAACAGTTAAGTGTTGGCTACTTGCTGAAAGGCTGGTGGCTCGAACTCATCTAGCAGTTCTGCAGGAAAAAGACCTGGTGATTTGCCCCGTAAAGATTAAAAAACCAAAGCAAACCAAACGCATTGCCATTGATTTGATTCTAACTCATAGCGAGCAATTCTATGGGACAGAGTAAAGTTTCCGCATAGGGTTTCCAAGGCTGTAAATCTTTGTGGAAGCAGACTGCCCCATTTTCCTCCTGTGGAGAGGCTGGTGGGTTCAAGCCTCTAACCTTTTGGTTAGCAGTTAAATGCTTTAACTTTTAACACTGCAACATTAGAGTGCCTCCCATAAATTTTGAAACAAAACCAAACTCACTGCCATTGAGTCAATTCTGACTCATAGTGACTCATTGGGTTTCCAAGGTTGTAAATCTTTATGGAAGTAGACAGCCTCACCTTTATTTTGTGGAATGGCCAGTGGGTTCAAATCACTAACCTGTTGGTTAGCAGCCAAATGCTTTAACCACTGCACCATCAGAGCTATTCTCATAAAGATTATAGCCTAGAAAATCCCATGGGGCAGTTCTGCCATATCACAGGGGGTACCAACCAGTCATTGGCACCTAACAACAACATACTGGAACATGTTATTGTGCTTTCAGAATTTAAAGCTATAATTTTCTGTTCCACACTTTAAAACAAGTATGTGTGTTCTTTAAAAGTTCTAGAGAAGAGTGAGTAAAAGGAAGGAAGTAAATTCCACTGGTGACTGGAGTGAAATAACTAGGTCTCCTTTGTTTGGTAGTATGAGGGTCAACTGAGAAGAAGGCTATACACTTTAAAATTATGAGGACTAATGAGAGGGCAAAGATCCCTGGTGGTGCAACAGTTAAGTGCTCAGCTGTTAACCCACCAGTGGTTCCACAAGATAAAAGACCTGGCAATCTGCTCCTATAAAGATTACAGCCTAGGAAACCACATGTTGTTGTTGTTGTTGTTATGTGCCGTCCAGTCAGATCTGATTCACAGCGACACCTCCTTGGGTTTCTGAGGTAGTATCACTACAGAAGTAGATTGCCCAACCTTCCTTCCAAGGAGTGGCTAGTGGGTTTGAACCACCAGCATTCTGGTTAGGAATCAAGTGTCGTAGGCACTATGCTACCAGAGCTCCCTGGGAAACCATATGGGGCAGTCCTACTCTGTCCTATAGCATCACTATGAGTCAGAATTGACTCCATGTCACCCAAAAACAACAAGGAAAGGGTAACGGGAGAGTGTTGGCTGGATCACAGAATCCAGTGAATTAAGTCTGTTATCAGGAATATTAAATGGTTACTTTGGGTAGAAGGAGCCATGATGACATGGCGATTAAACATTCAGCTGCTAACCTAAAGGTTGGCAGTTTGAACTCACCAGCTGCTCACGAAATAAAGATGAGGCAGGTTACATCCATAAAGTTTTATAGCCTTTGAAATTTCATGAGGCAGTTCTACTCTTTCCTATAGTGTCACTATGAATTAGAATCAACTCGACTGACAATGACTTTGGTTTGGACTTTGCGTGGAGGGTTGTAAGCTCACTACCCTTCCAACTAGTCAAATTTATGAACAGTTAAAAGGACTTAGAAAAATTCACAGATGAAAGTT